TCCAGTTTCTAGACAGCCGATCAGGTGTGGGTTCCATACTGGTGCTTCATACTCCAGTATGCGTCTGACAAGTGTTGTGTTCAGTGCGGTGACTGACTCCTTGCTTAGGTTCCTGAAAGCTAAATTTGCCTTTTTAATCACTCATTGTTTCCTTCCTGTTAAATATTCCTTGATCACGACTCAGACCACGGAACGGACGAGGTTTCAACCCATTGCAAGTGAGTCTTAAAATTCACAGGGCAGTTCGTTATTCCTTGATCCACTGTAGTGTTTTCCCTGTTCTTCCTGCCTGTTCCTCTAGCACTTAGTGTCATCATATGTGAGAGATGGATAGGGATCACGAATATGTGTATTGCCATCTACACACATATGTGAAAATACATATATGTACATACATGTATGTGAATATTCACTTTGTTTCATGATAGAGCAGATGTTAGTAAGATGTTTCACCTACGTGAACTGCATGTTTCATGTTTCATGTTCGTTTCCTCACTAAAGATATTCATTTTGATCATTAAGACATATGATGGTAAAAGTAGATAATGGTGGTAGTGGTTGGTGGTGAGCTGGAGCCTCAGCACCAGTAGCAAGTGTTGGTGGTGAGCTGGAGTCTCAACACCAGTAGCAAGTGTTGGTGGTGAGCTGGAGCCTCAGCACCAGTAGCAAGTGTTGGTGGTGAGCTGGAGCCTCAACACCAGTAGCAAGTGTTGGTGGTGAGCTGGAGCCTCAACACCAGTAGCAAGTGTTGGTGGTGAGCTGGAGCCTCAGCACCAGTAGCAAGTGTTGGTGGTGAGCTGGAGCCTCAGCACCAGTAGCAAGTGTTGGTGGTGAGCTGGAGCCTCAGCACCAGTAGCAAGTGTTGGTGGTGAGCTGGAGTCTCAACACCGGTAGCAAGTGTTGGTGGTGAGCTGGAGCCTCAACACCAGTAGCAAGTGTTGGTGGTGAGCTGGAGCCTCAGCACCAGTAGCAAGTGTTGGTGGTGAGCTGGAGCCTCAACACCAGTAGCAAGTGTTGGTGGTGAGCTGGAGCCTCAACACCAGTAGCAAGTGTTGGTGGTGAGCTGGAGCCTCAGCACCAGTAGCAAGTGTTGGTGGTGAGCTGGAGCCTCAGCACCAGTAGCAAGTGTTGGTGGTGAGCTGGAGCCTCAGCACCAGTAGCAAGTGTTGGTGGTGAGCTGGAGTCTCAACACCGGTAGCAAGTGTTGGTGGTGAGCTGGAGCCTCAACACCAGTAGCAAGTGTTGGTGGTGAGCTGGAGCCTCAGCACCAGTAGCAAGTGTTGGTAGTGAGCTGGAGCCTCAACACCGGTAGCAAGTGTTGGTGGTGAGCTGGAGCCTCAGCACCAGTAGCAAGTGTTGGTGGTGAGCTGGAGTCTCAACACCGGTAGCAAGTGTTGGTGGTGAGCTGGAGCCTCAGCACCAGTAGCAAGTGTTGGTGGTGAGCTGGAGCCTCAGCACCAGTAGCAAGTGTTGGTAGTGAGCTGGAGCCTCAACACCGGTAGCAAGTGTTGGTGGTGAGCTGGAGCCTCAACACCAGTAGCAAGTGTTGGTGGTGAGCTGGAGCCTCAGCACCAGTAGCAAGTGTTGGTAGTGAGCTGGAGCCTCAACACCGGTAGCAAGTGTTGGTGGTGAGCTGGAGCCTCAACACCAGTAGCAAGTGTTGGTGAGCTGGAGCCTCAACACCAGTAGCAAGTGTTGGTGGTGAGCTGGAGCCTCAACACCAGTAGCAAGTGTTGGTGGTGAGCTGGAGCCTCAACACCGGTAGCAAGTGTTGGTGGTGAGCTGGAGCCTCAACACCAGTAGCAAGTGTTGGTGGTGAGCTGGAGCCTCAACACCGGTAGCAAGTGTTGGTGGTGAGCTGGAGCCTCAACACCGGTAGCAAGTGTTGGTGGTGAGCTGGAGCCTCAACACCAGTAGCAAATGTTTGTGGTGAGCTGGAGCCTCAACACCAGTAGCAAGTGTTGGTGGTGAGCTGGAGCCTCAACACCAGTAGCAAGTGTTGGTGGTGAGCTGGAGCCTCAACACCAGTAGCAAGTGTTGGTGGTGAGCTGGAGCCTCAACACCAGTAGCAAGTGTTGGTGGTGAGCTGGAGCCTCAACACCAGTAGCAAGTGTTGGTGGTGAGCTGGAGCCTCAACACCGGTAGCAAGTGTTGGTGGTGAGCTGGAGCCTCAACACCAGTAGCAAGTGTTGGTGGTGAGCTGGAGCCTCAACACCAGTAGCAAGTGCTGGTGGTGAGGTGGAGCTTCAACACCAGTAGCAAGTGTTGGTGGTGAGCTGGAGCCTCAACACCAGTAGCAAGTGCTGGTGGTGAGGTGGAGCTTCAACACCAGTAGCAAGTGTTGGTGGTGAGCTGGAGCTTCAACACCAGTAGCAAGTGTTGGTGGTGAGCTGGAGCCTCAACACCAGTAGCAAGTGTTGGTGGTGAGCTGGAGCTTCAACACCAGTAGCAAGTGTTGGTGGTGAGCTGGAGCTTCAACACCAGTAGCAAGTGTTGGTGGTGAGCTGGAGCTTCAACACCAGTAGCAAGTGTTGGTGGTGAGCTGGAGCTTCAACACCAGTAGCAAGTGCTGGTGGTGAGGTGGAGCTTCAACACCAGTAGCAAGTGTTGGTGGTGAGCTGGAGCCTCAACACCAGTAGCAAGTGTTGGTGGTGAGCTGGAGCTTCAACACCAGTAGCAAGTGTTGGTGGTGAGCTGGAGCTTCAACACCAGTAGCAAGTGTTGGTGGTGAGCTGGAGCTTCAACACCAGTAGCAAGTGCTGGTGGTGAGCTGGAGCCTCAACACCAGTTCTTGGCGGAATAAAAGTAATTGTTCTCCCTAGTTGATTTGCTGTCACCATTGATGGCGGGGACAGTTTACTGTTGTTGTTGTTGTTGTTGTTGTTGTTGTTGTTGTTGTTGTTGTTGTTGTTGGGGACGCTGACGGCTCTTTTAAAACCCATTTTTACATATGACAGCTGAATGAGCTGTCAGGAAAAGGCAACGTTTCGCTCTGTCCAGATCTTTATCAAGTCACTGACCTGTCAACACGGCGAAACGTGCTCAGAGTGAAAGCTTGCACTGCCAAACATCGAAGCTATCCACCCCTTCCTTGGATCATACCTGAATAACCCAGGCACGTGATGACTCTTGAGGGTTTAATGCTTCCCATAGAGTTGAATGTTTATGTGAAACACTAAACCCGTGTGGGTCATTCAACACAAGATCAAGAAGACAGAAAGTCACAGAAAACTAAAACAATCTCTTACTCTTCGTCTGTTCTACGTCTTCCTCTCTTCTATATCTTCCTCTCTTCTATATCTTCCTCTCTTCTATATCTTCCTCTCTTCTATATCTTCCTCTCTTCTATATCTTCCTCTCTTCTATATCTTCTCTCTTCTATCTATTCTTTCTCCTCTCTTCTATATCTTCCTCTCTTCTATATCTCCTTCTTTTCCTCTCTTCTATATCTTCCTCTCTTCTATATTCTCTCCTCTCTTCTATATCTTCCTCTCTTCTATATCTTCCTCTCTTCTATATCTTCCTCTCTTCTATATCTTCCTCTCTTCTATATCTTCCTCTCTTCTATATCTTCCTCTCTTCTATATCTTCCTCTCTTCTATATCTTCCTCTCTTCTATATCTTCCTCTCTTCTATATCTTCCTCTCTTCTATATCTTCCTCTCTTCTATATCTTCCTCTCTTCTATTCTTCACTCTTCGATCATACTCACCCCTCTTCTTATATCTTCTCTCTTGCATATTATTTCCTCCTTATTTTACTTTGTTTTTCTGGATCAAGAACTCACCCGCAGCAGCTCCTTCTAAGGAGGACTTGGGCTCATTGTAGTGTTAGACATACTTGTGAAATGATTTTACAACTAACTTAAGATTTTAAAGCCTTTGATGATTTGAGAGTTCACTACTCTCGGAGACCGGCATGCCAGGCTCAATTGGTCAACCATTGTTGCGTGCTAGAATGCCCAGGCTCCCCACTAATACCATCACAGCCAGGTCCGTGACCAGGTCACTGTGACAGATACGTGAAGGCTCTCGTGAAGAGATCTAATATGAAGGCTCAAACCTAGGGTATGTGAGCCATGGACTGACCTGGACGGAACAAGTTGACCACTCATGATATGATCAGCTTATGACCCAGCTCACGTTGAGGTCACATGACCCAGGCTCACGTGACCCAGGCTCACATGACCCAGGCTCACATGACCCAGGCTCACGTGACCCAGGCTCACGTGACCCAGGCTCACGTGACCCAGGCTCACGTGACCCAGGCTCACATGACCCAGGCTCACATGACCCAGGCTCACGTGACCCAGGCTCACGTGACCCAGGCTCACGTGACCCAGGCTCACGTGACCCAGGCTCACATGACCCAGGCTCACGTGACCCAGGCTCACGTGACCCAGGGTCACATGACCCAGGCTCACGTGACCCAGGCTCACATGACCCAGGGTCACATGACCCAGGCTCACGTGACCCAGGCTCACGTGACCCAGGCTCACGTGACCCAGGCTCACGTGACCCAGGCTCACATGACCCAGGCTCACATGACCCAGGCTCACGTGACCAGGCTCACGTGACCCAGGCTCACGTGACCCAGGCTCACGTGACCCAGGCTCACGTGACCCAGGCTCACGTGACCCAGGCTCACGTGACCTCTTACATAACCACTCTATTAACAATTACTTGTGGATGAAAAGGTGATTACAATTGCATAACGTTCCAGACTAACGGACGGAGGATCGAGCCCCCACCCCTCCTTGTGCTAAACAACCCTCACTGATTTCACATAAAGGAGCTATAATAATAATAATAATAATAATAATAATAATAATAATAATAATAATAATAAAAGAAATAGTTAATTATTTAATATTCTTTGTTAAAGAGACTTAGATAAATATAATACAAGATATATAGTATCAGTGCTGTTATAAAAAGTTTGTGATAAAGTTCATATAAGTTCATAGGAAGCAGTGTTCTGTTGCAATGGTTTATATTGCAGGATATATTACGACATAATCGATTTGAGCAGTGTTCGCGCGCGCTCACTGTAAGATGAGCGGCTGGCCAGAAGTGTCGGCGCGAGCCCTAGCAGAGGACCCAGCAGGAAAACACGACTTCTAGGGCTGTGCGGGGCCGTTACCACAGACTGTGCCAGGATCCGGGTGTTGGTGGTAACGCTGCAGCCGGACAAGTCAGAAGGGGAAAATACGACTTGACCTCCACAAAGGAAAGTGAAGACACAGAGGACGGAACGGATAGTGGGACTGAACTCAATAGTTCCTTAGACGAGCAGCCTAGCTCACCTAAGGAGACTTTAAGGCAGCCCCGCAAGTCTTCAAGTTGTAGTGGGTTGAGAGCTACTGGCGGGCATAGCACACGTGGTTATACCAGTCTCAGTGGCTCGGAGTCACCGTCTTCCCTCAAGAAGTCGCAAGGATCAAGCAAGAGCAGTATAAGCAGCAGCAGCGGCGCCGTCAAGAAGCGAGTGAGGTTCTCTCAGAGTGTGAGTGTAGTTTGTCCACCTACAACACGCCTTACCACCTTCACCAAGCAGTCTCTGGGAGCCATTGGGGCCTTGGCCATCAGGGAACGTTATGGCGAAGGTAGTGACTGTCTGTATGCCAGCTTCAGCCCTACGTCTCATGCACTGAGACGACAGAGGCTAGGCGCCGCTGCCGGAGAGTACAACCTTGTTCCTCTTAGCTCAAGAACTGCCCTGAGATCTGAGAGCAGCGCCGGTGCTATTTCCCGCAGCACTAGTAGCATCTTCTGCACAAGCACCAGTTCTGGGCAGGAGCCCATCAGAGTGAAGATGTTGTCGTATATGTTACCAGTGGAGGAGAAGGTGAGCTTCAGTGAGGGCGACGCCTCCTCCTTCACGCCTCTCAGTGACGACCGCTCGCCCATTTCTGAAACAAAACCTCTACTGGACGAAGACAAGACTGACAAACTGGCCTCCATCGGTGAGCCTATACAACTGGATTCTCCCTCCACCGAAGAGGCCAAGCTTATCATGGAGGAGAAGGAGAAGGAGAAGACTCATGACCCAGACATGGAGATGGTGGAAATGAAACCCACCAGTAGTGAGGACAGGAGCCCGGCGGCCAGTGAAGACAAATCAGTGTTTAGCGAGACTCTGGCCTCGCCAGGTTCAGACGACCGCTCCATCATCAAGACCTCAGTTTCAGCTAAACCAAATCTTAAAAGGTTAGTACAAGTTTTTTCTTTTTATATTTTGCACCGAGGAGAGAGTTTATTAGGCAGCGCCGCTCATCCCTAAAGACAGTACATTATAGCATAAATAGATAACACGTCGTTAGCAATATCAACTCCACCATTACTATATTTACAATTGTACTTACAATTATTATAATTTATATTGAATATAAATTGTGTACTTAGGTGATTACAACATTAACCTTGTCTTGCTTTCTTTTTTTTAATTTTCAGTATTCAGACGAGTATGTATATATATATATATATATATATATATATATATATATATATATATATATATATATATATATATATATATAATACATACAATATATAATAATATATATATATATATATATATATATATATATATATATATATATATATATATATATATATATATATATATATATATATATATATATATATATATATATATATATATATATATATATATATATATATATTTGCACTTTGAATGAGCAGAGGCGACGAGGATAGTGACAGGTTGAGTGGTGCTTGTGTGGCACTGCTGCATGTTTGTCCCTGTCTGTCACGTCTTGCTCATGAGGTGACACTTCCGTTGTCACTGACGTCATGTGTGGCACTGCAACCTCACTGGCATCATGTGTGACACTGCAGGCTCACTGACACCATGTGTGGCACTGCAGCCTCACTGACGTCATGTGTGGCACTGCAGGCTCACTGACGTTGTGTGGCACTGCAGGCTCACTGACGTCATGTGTGGCACTAAAGTCTCACTTACGTCATGTGTGGCACTGCAGTCTCACTGACGTCATGTGTGGCACTGCAACTTCACTGCACACACTTATATAATTCAGAAAGTCTTCAGCAACGTTTCAAGGCGGGTAACTTTATCCTGAAGAGCACATAGTCCAAGGAATTAGAACTGTCCTCTCATTTCTGGGATTAACCATGATTGGCTCCTATTCCCCAAGCGTTGCGTAAACCCTACGGGTTTAGCGCTTTCCCATTAATATACTAGTACTGTACTAATATTGGTAATAATAATAGTAGTAGTAGCATCAGGAACAATACTGGATACCTTGTCGGTGCTCAGTAATAACCAACATGAAGACGGAAACTCACCAAAACTGATTGATCTGTATATTTCAATCCCCTTCTGGGATCCTCTTCAGCTGAAGAGTTTCCCATAAGGGGATCGAAATATACAGATCAATCAATCTTCCGAGTTTGTCTCCATGTGGGTTATTATTGAGCAACAACAACAACAATAATAATAATAATAATAATAATAATAATAATAATAATAATAATAATAATAATAATAATAATATTCTTACCGCCAAGTTTTCAGACACTTTTTCATCGTGACAGGTCAACTTCTAAGGTCAAGTTTGTAATTATTCCATCAAGATTGTCGACACTTGTCAAACTTTGGAACATTGAGTATGGCTGGCTGGAGCAACTGCCCAGCCTGATGCAGGGGAAAGTTCTCTTGATCCAGAGAACTGGAGCTATCCTTCTCTTCCCTTGGCTCAAGCCTGATTGTGTCCCATATCCCTGGTGCTGTATGACTCTAGTTTAGCGCAGTATTGCCTCAGTTTTTTTAGCTCACACTAGGCTTCAAATTAGTCCTACTGCTAAAAATTATAGTAAGCCACTTATTTTTTTAAATTTTATATATTCATAAAACGCGGTTATAACTATGACCATAACTTTTAAAGGGGTTGACCGGTAAGCCAGCTGAAGGCCTCGGTCAGATGACCAAAAGCTCCAACGGCGGGTCATCATTTAAGACCCGCGTCAGGAAACACTTGTCCTGTTTCCTGACAAACCTTACCTAACCTAACCTAATTTTATGTTAAGTTTATATTTTGGGATACAGTATTAATATAACGAAAAAATTTCTGGATTAATAGTACATCCAGGATTTCTGCCGATGATGATGATGATGATGATGATAATAATAATAATAATAATAATAATAATAATAATAATATTATTATTATTATTATTATTATTATTATTGTTATATTCCAGGAAAAGCGGTAAATCTGTAGGATGTCACAGAGTATCTGGGCAATAGGAGGCAGTTAGGTTTGACCTGAGGAAGGGAAGGGTAGCTCAAAGTCTGCGGATCAAAAGCTCTTCACTGGCATCAAGGCACTCCCTTGCAGGGTCACTGGCATCAAGGCACTCCCTTGCAGAGTCACTGGCATCAAGGCACTCCCTTGCAGGGTGACTGGTATCAAGGCACTCCCTTGCAGGGTCACTGGCATCAAGGCACTCCCTTGCAGGGTCACTGGCATCAAGGCACTCCCTTGCAGGGTCACTGGCATCAAGGCACTCCCTTGCTGGGTCACTGGCATCAAGGCACTCTCTTGCAGGGTCACTGGCATCAAGGCACTCCCTTGCAGGGTCACTGGCATCAAGGCACTCCCTTGCTGGGTCACTGGCATCAAGGCACTCTTGCAGGGTCACTGGCATCAAGGCACTCCCTTGCTGGGTCAGTGGCATCAAGGCACTCCCTTGCTGGGTCACTGGCATCAAGGCACTCCCTGGCAGGGTCACTTACAGTGAAGACTGGAAAAATCCTGTTGTTCACATGAAATTCTGATACAAATTATAATTGACAAGGTGTGTTGCTCCATCACCAGATTGGCTGTGAATGTTCAACACTGGTAACCTAGTGAATGTTCAACACTGGTAACCTAGTGAATGTTCAACACTGGTAACCTAGTGAATGTTCAACACTGGTAACCTAGTGAATGTTCAACACTAGTAACCTAGTGAATGTTCAACACTGGTAACCTAGTGAATGTTCAACACTGGTAACCTAGTGAATGTTCAACACTAGTAACCTAGTGAATGTTCAACACTGGTAACCTAGTGAGTGTTCAACACTGGTAACCTAGTGAATGTTCAACACTGGTAACCTAGTGAATGTTCAACACTGGTAACCTAGTGAATGTTCAACACTAGTAACCTAGTGAATGTTCAACACTGGTAACCTAGTGAGTGTTCAACACTGGTAACCTAGTGAATGTTCAACACTGGTAACCTAGTGAGTGTTCAACACTGGTAACCTAGTGAGTGTTCAACACTGGTAACCTAGTGAATGTTCAACACTGGTAACCTAGTGAATGTTCAACACTGGTAACCTAGTGAATGTTCAACACTGGTAACCTAGTGAATGTTCAACACTGGTAACCTAGTGAATGTTCAACACTGGTAACCTAGTGAATGTTCAACACTGGTAACCTAGTGAGTGTTCAACACTGGTAACCTAGTGAGTGTTCAACACTGGTAACCTAGTGAATGTTCAACACTGGTAACCTAGTGAATGTTCAACACTGGTAACCTAGTGAGTGTTCAACACTGGTAACCTAGTGAGTGTTCAACACTGGTAACCTAGTGAATGTTCAACACTGGTAACCTAGTGAATGTTCAACACTGGTAACCTAGTGAATGTTCAACACTGGTAACCTAGTGAATGTTCAACACTGGTAACCTAGTGAGTGTTCAACACTGGTAACCTAGTGAATGTTCAACACTGGTAACCTAGTGAATGTTCAACACTGGTAACCTAGTGAATGTTCAACACTGGTAACCTAGTGAATGTTCAACACTGGTAACCTAGTGAATGTTCAACACTGGTAACCTAGTGAATGTTCAACACTGGTAACCTAGTGAATGTTCAACACTGGTAACCTAGTGAATGTTCAACACTGGTAACCTAGTGAATGTTCAACACTGGTAACCTAGTGAATGTTCAACACTGGTAACCTAGTGAATGTTCAACACTGGTAACCTAGTGAATGTTCAACACTGGTAACCTAGTGAATGTTCAACACTGGTAACCTAGTGAATGTTCAAACACTGGTAACCTAGTGAATGTTCAACACTGGTAACCTAGTGAATGTTCAACACTGGTAACCTAGTGAATGTTCAACACTGGTAACCTAGTGAATGTTCAACACTGGTAACCTAGTGTTGCTACTCGACTCTCTGGGATCTATTAACACATAATATCTACAGTATATGTACTGAAAAATTTAATAATCTTGGCTCTTTATTAAGTTAAACGTTCACAGTATACAAGATCCTAAAATTAATCGACTTAGTTCTGTATAGTTTTGTTGTAGACTATTACACTAGACTCTTAATATAGTAATATTATACCTAAAAACTATTATACTTCAGTATTACACTTAGAATATTGCACTTGCAAGTTCTGCACTTTAATATTACACTTGCAAGTTCTACACTTTAATATTGCACTTGCAAGTTCTACACTTTAATATTACACTTGTAAGTTCTACACTAATATTACACTTGTAAGTTCTACACTTTAATATTGCACTTGCAAGTTCTACACTAATATTACACTTGTAAGTTCTACACTAATATTACACTTGCAAGTTCTACACTTAAATATTACACTTGCAAGTTCTGCACTTTAATATTACACTTGTAAGTTTTGCACTTAAATATTACACTTGCAAGTTCTACACTAATATTACACTTGCAAGTTCTACACTTTAATATTACACTTGTAAGTTCTGCACTTAAATATTACACTTGCAAGTTCTACATTAATATTACACTTGCAAGTTCTGCACTTTAATATTACACTTGCAAGTTCTGCACTAATATTACACTTGCAAGTTCTACACTTTAATATTACACTTGCAAGTTCTACACTTTAATATTACACTTGTAAGTTCTGCACTTTAATATTACACTTGTAAGTTTTGCACTTAAATATTACACTTGCAAGTTCTACAATTTAATATTACACTTGCAAGTTTTGCACTTAAATATTACACTTGCAAACATTACTTTAAAATTGAAGTGTGAGAATGGTTTGATAACAGACCAGCGTATCTCACATCAGTGATAGTAATAATAATAATAATAATAATAATAATAATAATAATAATAATAATAATAATAATAATAATAATAAACGTGAGAAATATAGGAGAAAGTGCAAAATAAACCCA